AGAGAGAGAGAGAGAGAGAGAGAGAGAGAGAGAGAGAGCGAGAGCGAGAAAGAGAGAGAGAGCACGAGCGAACGAGAGAGAGATAGTGGTGCGGGGGAGTGGTGGGCGGACGATGCTTTTCAAAAATTAACGCGGCTGGTGGCTCGCATGCGGACGGGGGCTCGCTACCCTGTGCTGCTCAGCCTCCCACCGAGGGAATGAAGCCATTTGCTTGAATGCTGAGGCCATTATTCGGTGAAGCCCAGAGGTGCAGTGACGACGACGACGACGATAACGACGGGCAACCCATTTTCGCAATCAATTCTCACTCTAATCAGTTTCGGCAGTGATTTGCTTCCACAATCGGAGCGTGCGCATACGCGAGCTCCCCTTGCATCTGACGCAGACGTGCGGCTGGCGGCGTCTGCTACTACAGACGCCAGTATACATGATGAGTCATGTCATTAAGAGAGAAGCCAGGTAACTCGTTCACCTATGCAGGTGAAACTGGCGTCGTTTACCTTTGAAATCAGTACGGCAACTCATATCATCAGAAGCAAACAACCGCAAAACTTGTTTCTGTGCGCGCGCGTATGTATGTGTGTGTGTGTGTATGTGTATGTGTATGTATATATATATGTGCCGTGCGTGGTGTAGTGTGTGTGTGTCTGTGGCGTGGCTGCTGGTGTGCGTCCAGCCGGTTGTGCGTGTGCGTCGTGCGTGTGCGTGTTTGGTTGTGCGTGTGCGTGTTCTATTATATATAATATACATATTACTTATATAGGTTGTTATATGTGTGCTGTTTCGTAGTGCTGATGTGCTGATGTGTGTGTTGTGTGTGTGTGTGTGACCTCGTCGTGTGTGGGCACCCCCACCGTGACCTGGATGTGTGTGCTCGTAGAGGTTAGCGTGCGTGCAATGCGCGCATTAGTTTGTGCGTGCGGCTGATGGGTGCGGCGCTGTGCGTGGTCTCCGTAGCATGCGTTCGTTGTGACACTTACGTAAGCAAATAGTAGAAGCTTTTTCGTATAGATTTTCTTCGAAATTAGACACCCGCTATTTTGGATTCACATTGAAAGCATGCGGGCCCTTACTCAATATCTCACGGTTAATAAGCGGCGCCAGTTTAAGACGAGCACCTAATAGCCAGAGTTGTGTACGGAAGAACTTCAACCCACTGGTTACGCGTACGTGTCGCGTAAGCCCCGATTTATGTTGCTCAGAGACCCAGTATGGCATGTGGGCAGTACGCATAGGTCTGCGTTCGTGTGTCTGGGTCCTACTTACGAGACAGACGCATAGTGGAGGCCCGACGATTCTACGTGCGTAGGCGGATTCGTGTAGGTTTTACAGCGAGCGGCCCAGAAGTCCCCTGCGTTAGGACGAGCAGAACGCACACTTTAGCAGCAGCAGAATTAATGGTGGCATGCATGTGTATATGCATGCCATATATATATATATAGTAATTATAATATAATATATATTATACTATAGTATATACTATATATATATATATATATATTACACGCGAATTACGCAGATGTACCAGGCGTAACACTGAAGCTTTTACACTGCCAATTAGCGGGTTCTGTCGGCCAGGTGGTTTGTCTGGCTAATTGCCCGTTACAGGCATAATAGGCATAACGGTGCACTATATAGCGCTGCGAATACATGGATCGAATGTTGCGCCGACAGTATATGGATGCGTGAGGCGTAATGTGATCGACGTGATGGAAAAATCTGTCTGCTTGTGTCGCGACAACAAGTGTAGCTGTCTGCTTCCTGCGTCACTACCTTGACGGGTAGTGTTGTCTGTCCTGTCTCTGCTTCTGCCGTATGTCTGGTCCGATCCGTCCGTCCGTCCGTTCGTCCGCCGTCGCGCCTCGCGCCTGCCCGTGTCCGCTTCCGTCCGTCCGTCTATCCGGCCGTAGTGAAGCCGCCCGCCGTCCCGTCGTCCGCCTTCCGTCCGTCTATCGGGCGTACGTGAAGCCCGCCGTCACGTCCGTCCGTCCGTCCGTCTGATACTGTCTGTCGTGTCTGTTGCTGTCTGCATCCAGTGACAGGGCCTACCTGCCTGCCTGCTACCTGCATTACTACAGCTGTGTAATACACCGTGGGCTGTCATCGTCCACACCATTGACAACCAATTCTACACGCACCCATCAGCATTCAAAAGAATTTAATTAAGAGAGACGGTATACACGGCTAGTATCTCGTGCATGACACCTCCGAATGAATAATGCACACCCGCACGCGCGCAGTGAACACACACAGACGCGCTCATATGGCTGTCTATGCTATCGCCTTTGAAAGAGGTTTTAATTGTCTTGCGTGTTTTCTTTCATCTGGAGGTGTCACTAATGGCATACCGACTGAATCGTCACAGAGAGAGCGAGAGGGGAGAGCGAGAGAAAGAGGGGAGAGAGAGAGACGAAGAGAGAGAGAAAAAGAGGAAGAGAGGAGTAGAGAGAGAGCTGATCGCAGAGAGAGAGAGAGATGAAGAGAGAGCAGAAGAGGAAGCAGAGAGACAGAGGTAGAGAGAGGGAGAGAGGGGGGGGGAAGATCGCCGGCGAGATGAATAATGAATGAACTTTAACTGAATCCTAGGAGGAGAATTGAAAGTCGTCAATGACACTGCTAGCCTCACCAATGGATCGTGATAGAAGAAGGGAGGGCGCGATATATAAAGCAAGAGCATATATGGCGGACTCCAATTATATTACTCTTGATAATGATATATGGATAAGTTTTGGCATTGCGAAGAATTAATGTTTTCAGATCTGAAAGCTCTGAATCTTGACGAGAGATGGCCTGCTACGCCTAAATGGAGTCGCCATTTTACGTTTTCGAATATCGGCAAATAAAAACAATAAACACTTCCAAGTAAAAATTACTTGTAACGAAGAATGCTAAAACACAATTTATACAGGTATATAGGTATGATTGTTTAGAGTTGGTTGACCATTGTTAGACGAAATAAACGTAAATAGGACGTTGTCATGTCTCCCAGAAAGGAATAACAACTGTTTTGGAGATAGATTAACAGATTCACATAAACCAAATCTCGTAACAAAATCGATGAATGTTAGTAATCGGCCCATTTTCATTTTTGCTAAAAAGTGAGGCGTTCGGGTCGAAATAGTAGGTAGGACTGGCGCGTCCAAAATAGGGAGTTCAATCTGCTCTCATAGGAGTATAAGAACTGTATTCAATTTGGAAACGATGTGAGGTCAATACGAGTTCTTACAGTTATCGTTTTGGCCCGTAGGCAGAACACTTGAATTTGCAATTAGTGAAATATGCTAAAATCTACCTAATTTGCTATAATTGTTAAAAAAAATAATCAAAACCTGTGTGATATTGTTTTGGGGCCGTTCCTCATTATTCCCATTACCAGAATGAGCATAATCCATGGAACCTGAACTATTTATTGGCGATTTCATTTTTGCAAAAGTGGACGTGGCTCGAATTGTTAGGTCGACTGGGCTGTGCTCAAAATGGACGTTCAAACCTCTGCATAGGCAGGTAAAAAACTGCATGCAATTATGAAACATGTGGGGGTCAAGGACGTTCTTGAGATTATTCGTTGACCGTGGGCGGACAAATGGTTGATTGACGGACGGACGGACGGACGTATGTACGACGACGACACCCATGCGCAATAGGTTGACGATGTCAAGGCGATGCGAAAAAAACGCGAGAACTTGAAAGCCAGCCACACTTGAAGCGCAAGATAGCAGCATGGTAAGGACAGGGGTGCGTGTCACGGCTTTTCATGCGGTGTGTGCGTGCGTGTGCGTGTGTGCGCCAGCGTCGTAGTTGTGAATGAGTGCGCGCTGGGACGCTGTGAAGTGCCGCGGCTTGCGTGTGATGAGTGCGCCGCGTGAGTGTGTGAGTGCGCGCGTTGCGTGCTGGTCGTCGTGAGGAACGTCACGCGCCAAGTGCGTGTGTGAGTTGAGACGCGTAGGTGTGTGAATGGCGCGCGGTGGCGTGTGATGATGTGCAGCGCGTTCGATGTATTTTTTTTTTTCTGTGAGGTGCGCGCTGTGGTGTGGGAGCTTACTGTACGCGCCGTGCGTGCGTGACGTTGGAGCGCGTCGTGTGTGAGTACCGCCGCGCGCGTTCGCTGGATGAGGTGCAGCGCCGCTGCGTGTGAGGTACGCGCACCGCCTGCGGGTGTGAGTGTGCGCCATGTGCGTGTGTGAGTGTGCTGCGTGCGGTGTGTCGATGTCGCGCGCGTGTGGGTGTATGAGGTGTGCGTGGGTGCGGTGCGGTGTGTGTGTGGGGGAGGTACGTACGCGGCTGCTGGGATAGTGACGTGCGCGCGCGTGACACGTACAGTGCAGTGCGCGCCGTGCGTGTGTCGTGCGCTGCGCGTGCGTGTGCATGAGTGCGGGCGCCGATGCGTTGTCGTGAAGTGCGCGCGTGCGATGTTGAGTGGTGCGGCGGGGCGTGCGTGTGAGTCGCCGCGCCCGCGTGTGGATGAGTGCGGCGCCGTGCGTGGTGAGGGCGCGCGTGCGTGTGTGAGGACGCGCGTGGTGTGTGAGTAGCGCGGTGTGTGATGGTGATGTATACGGACCGCGATGCCGTTAATGTCTGAGATACACTTCTAATTTTTGTCGCTTAACTGTCTGCGATTGCCGATTCGGTACAATGCAGCTACCTCATTATTAAGCCGTGAAAAGATTGCGGCGTTAGCCATGTGGGATGACAATGGTCGCGGGGAAGTTAGGAGGTTTTTCTAAGATGTTAGGTAGATTCGGTTACATTTTCACAAACCGAGTTTAATTTGTGCTGTTACGAAACCGGCTTCGGGCGATAGAGACACAACGGGCAGGCCTGAAAGTTTGAGAATATTCTCATATGGAGCCCTCTGCATTACATCACAGTACACGGAGCCAAACGACGGGGAACTCTGCAATCATATCACAAACACAATCAACATAACGTTAATAGTAGTGGTCAATAAATGAATGTGAAGATGTGTTGTGGTTTTATCTTTGTTTGGAATGATGTAGGTGTGCGGGTGGGTTTGTGTACTTGTAGTGGACATATGTCTCCGGATTTGGGCGATTTGATTTCCCTCTTATTACCCCCCAGCTGGTTTGCTTAAAGCAATTAAACTCCTATGTGCAAATGCCTAAATTTGATATTTCGCAATTCGAATTTCACAATTCGACATTACTTTAGATTAATCAAGTATTTTGTCGCAATTCGCTTTGTCACCAGGCCGGTAGTAACTGTTCTGATCAATAATCGCGACAATTATAAGCCATATACATAAAGTTGTTTTGCGACGGCACGCAGCGCACGTCTCGCGGTATACACATGCCACACACACAACACCACACACACACACAAACACACACACACACACACACACACACACACAACGCACACGCACAGCAACACACGCACACACACCGCACACACACGCATACACACAACACACACACACACACACCATCCACACAACACACACACGCACACACACACACACACAGCACACACACGTGAATACACACACGCAGCACAGGGCGGATTGGCATCACACACACAGATCACACTGCACACACACACACGCGAGCTCATTGTTTGGGAAAGCAGTACCGGATTGTGACAGTTGCCATCTACTAACGTAGTGTTGCTTTGCCCATAGTGCTGGCTTTTTGTCCGTGTCCCCGGTTTTTTCTAACGGACTCGTCAACATTTCAAAACGAACATCACGACGTCCTCAGTGTAACGGTGACACGAGTGACAGATAGCATTACCTTTCGGTGACAAATATGTATTTGCTTCTCCCACGCATCGGTCTATCACGCGCTAAAACGCTTGCGAACTAACGACCTGACCCCATGGAGAACTCTTCCCGCCAGGCTGGTCTCACTCACCGCTCTAACGAAGATAGAATGACAAAAGCCAGCCTAGCATGCGCGCCACCAGAAGCTTGATCAGCAGATGTTCAAAGTCTGAGCCGCTCGTAGATCTCTGCTAAGTGGCCGCCTCCTCTTGTCGTTTTCTCCCGCCCGCCGGCCCTTCTCTCTCTCTCTCTGCTCTCTGCGCGTCTGTCTCGCACGCTCGGCGGTCTTGTCTGGGCTCTCTCTCTCTTCGCGGCGCGGCGCTCTTGCCTCTCGGTCGTCGTCTCTCTCTCCTCGCGCGGACGCTCTCTATCTCGTCTCAGCGCGTGGTCTCGGTGATCTCTGGCTCTCTCGGTCTCTCTTCCGCGCAGCGCTCTATATCTCTCGCTCTTCTCTCTTTCGCGGCGCGCTCTCCTCTCTCTCTCTCTCTCACTCATCCCGCCTCTTCCTCTCTTTCTCTTCTTTTTCTCATTCACACAAGCATACGCATACGCACGCACGCACACACAAACACACGCTCTCGTTTTTTTTTCTTTCTTTCTTTCTTTCTCTCTCTCTCTCTCTCTCTCTCTCTACACACACACGCGCACGCACGCACGCACGCACGCACGCACGCACGCACACACACACACACACACACACAGATGTATGTATATATATAATATATATATCCTCTCTTTCTGTCTCGATCACTCTTCTGCTGTGGAAATCTGGCCGCGGACACCGGCCGGCAGAGGTTACTACTACTACACTCCGGGGAGCAGGTAGGCCGCATCACCGCAGCTGTCCCTAACTACCCGTCCCCGCCGCCAGGTGGCGCTACACGCAGCTACCCTTCTGAGCCCCCTTGATTTTATTCGCATTCTGTTTTGTTTTTTTGTCATTCGTTTTACATTGATAAATTATATTATAACATTATATATTACATTACTCATTTTCTAATCCGTTTTTGTTTATTATTTAGTTATATTAATCAGTTATTTTATATTTCGTGCGTTCTGGGAAGGGGCAAGTGAGAGCGTAACGAACGCAGCCGAAGATGATGACGATTAAAACAATAACGACGATGACGATGAAGACGATGACGATGAACAGACGAACATCTGTCAATGGACGGGTAGCGTGTAGGCGGCTGTGAGAGGGCACCCGGGGGACGAGGCAGCAGTCAGCGAAGGATACCTTGTGTTGGCTGCACTGGTCACAACGCTCCGTAATTCATCTCACATGCTGGCCGGATTTCTCCGTCCCTCCACCTCTCCCATTCTCTGTGTTTGTGTGTGGCTCTCTCTCTCGCGCGCGCGCTCGCTCTCTCGCTCGCTCGCTCTCTCTTTCTGTCTGTCTTTTTCTTTCTCTCGCGCTCTCTCGCTTCCTCTCTCTCTCTCTCTCTATTATCTATCGATCTATTCTATTTAGCTCTCTCTCCTCACACATACACTCTCTCCCCGCTCCCTCTCCTCTCTCTCTCTCTCTCTTCCTCTCTCATCTCTCTGCTCTCTCGTCCCTCTCTTCCTCTCTCTCTCTCTCACTCTCTCTCTCTCTTCCTCTCTCTCTCTCGGCAGCCCATGTATGCATGCGCAGCCGGGGCGTACATCTGAAGGCTCGCCGGCCCTCTCCTGCCTCATGCTGGATGGAGTCTCAGGAGAAATGTTTGCGCTCGTCGTTAGCAAGTCATGATCACGTTATGGGAAGCAATAAAGACATCAGTCAGGCAGCCAAGCACTGCTGGCCATTCAGCGAGCCAACCACTGCAGGCCGATCAGCCACCTAGAATCACTGCAGTCACTACAGCCAGACCACGTATAAAAGTACTGGGATAGTATAAACGTACTTGTAGTGATGTATTAGTTATGTAATTACCATTCCGACTAGCCAGCCAGCCATCCAGCTAGCCCTCTTGCTAGCGTTCACGGGCCGTGTAGGTTAGCACTAACACCCATGACCGCTAAAACTAACTATCTCTCTAACTAGCTTCTATTAAATCGCACAATGTTGAATTAAAGATGTCTATCACAGTTTCTGCAGCGACTGCTTTATTATACTCTTACGGTGTCTCTCTGCATGCCTTTGAGTGTGTTATGTGTTATGTGTCTCCACCGCCCGCCTTCTCCTCTTTCGCGCACTCTCTCTTTCTCTCTCTATCTCTCTCTCTCTCTCTCTCTCTCTCTTCTCTCTTCTCTCTCTCTCGCTCTCCCTCCCTCTCTCTCTCTCTCTCTCTCTCTCTCTCTCTCTCTCTCTCTCTCTCTCTCTCCCCCCCCTCTCTCTCTCTCTCTCCTCCTTCCCTCCTCTATCTCTCTCTCTCTCTACTCTCTCTCTCTCTCTCTCTCTCTCTCTCTTCTCTCTCTCTCTCTCTCTCTCTCTCTCTCTCTGCTCTCTCTCTCTCTCTCTCCTCTCTCTCTCTCTACGTCTTCTCTCTCTCTCTCTCTCTCTCTCCTCCTCCCTCCCTCTCTCTCTCTCTCTCTCTCTCTCTCTCTCTCTCTCTCTCTCTTCTCTTCTCCTACCCCTCTGTCTTCTCATGCTCTCTCTCCCTCCCTCTCTCTCTCTTCTCTCTTCTCTCTCTCTCTCTCTTCTCTCTCTCTCCTTTTCACTAATCAACACCACCACCGAGACCCTTNAACACATATGATCACACTGACAATAATTGACGAAAATGACATAATTAAATTTTGTTTTTTCGTTCACAGTGTAATTGTAGTTTGAGTACAAACTGGTCGTAGTGGTGCAAAGGAATAGAATTCGTATTAAAAATACGGATAAATCGTAGTGGTTGGCATTCTCTCTCCTCTCTGCTCTCTTCTCTCTCTCTTCGTCTCTATATATAATATATAGTATATATTATATAATAATATATTTATATATATATATTGCAGCTGTCGCGCGTCCCGGAAAGCCGACCTGGCACAAGCCGTCATCACCAGCGGGGCGTAAGAGTTAAGCTGCGCTGCGGCAGCAGCAGGAGCTAGCAGTGGCGGCCCAGACACAGCGGCTCATGATGAATCAGAATTAAGCTCTAGTGCAAACACTGCTGCCAGGTAACCTTCGCTACAGCTAACAGGATTTACTGCCAGCGATGGCATTGACAACAGCGGCACATCATCATAATTATCATTATCATCATCATCATCATCATCATCATCATCATCATCACCATCATCACCACCATCATCCCCATCTTCACCATCATCACCATCCTCATCATCATCATCATCATCACCATCATCACCACATGCAGCAGCAGCAGCAGTAGTAGTAGCAGTATAGCAGTAGCAGTATAGCAGTAGTAGCAGCAGCAGCAGTAGCAGTAAATCAGCAGTAGTAGCAGCAGCAGCAACACCAGCAGTAGCAGTATAGCAGTAGTAGCAGCAGCAGCAGCAGCAGCAGCAGCAGCAGTATAGTAGTAACAGCAGTAGTAGTAGCAGCAGCAGCAGCAGCAGCAGTATAGTATAGTAACAGCAGTAGTAGTATAGCAGGAGCCGCAGCAGTTTGCTGTCTCTGGGTCTGTTTGAGCGCCGCATTTTGTCACGACAGCAGCTGCATGTCCAGCAGCTTAGCTTTCATTTCTACTTCCAAGGTCTTCCTCCAGCAATATCTCATGTGGAATTATTAGCAACGGCACTTCATACAAGAGAACACGCAAAAGAGAGTGAGCGAGAAAGTGAGAGCGAACGCGAAAGATAAAGACAGAGCGCACGAGAGAGGCAGATGTATAGGAAGATAATAAGGGGGGAGACAGAGATGTAGAGAGAGATGTAGAGAGAGAGAGAGATATAGGAAGAGAAAGGCGCATAGCGGTGAGGGGGAGTAAGTGTGAGGGAGGATATGAAGAGAGCGGGTAAGAGAAGTGGAGGGCGAAGGAACGGAAGAGGGAGGCGGGCAGACAACAGATAGACAGACAGACAGACTGACTGACTGACTGACAGACAGACACACAGACGCACAGGCAGACACACAGACAGACAGACACACAGACATAAAGACAGACAGACAGACACACAGACACACAGGCAGACACACAGACAGACAGACAGATAGACAGACAGACAGACACACAGACAGACAA